CCCTATGTCCACCAGCAGTCTAAGCCTATAGCAGCATAACAGATTCTGCAGAGTGGGAAAATAGATGGTCAATTTGTTGAATATTGGTTTAGAACCCAACCCTACCTTAAACTTTTAGCTGTGTTCCTTTGCCTTCATGGTTAATAAATAATCTCTGGTGAAGATTCTCAGTCATTCTAAGCTTTTAAAGCTTTCTGGATGGGAAGCAAGACGTCTTCAAACTTGGAAACAAGTCCAGAGGATTGTTCTTTTTGTTTTTGGGAAGAAATAATCTCTATTAAACCTGCATGTCACATTTTGTGAAATTGGTTTGGAAACATTTTTTCCTAAATGCCACATTTTACTTTGCATTTCGAAGTGGTGTGGGTGTATCATCGAAAAATAAACTGAAGTTTGACAGTAAAATGAGAAAATAGGAAAAGATTCAGCTGTTAGAATTCCACTTTCAAACACCGTAACTAAATGTAAAAAAATAAACCACAGCTGTAAGGAACCTTAATCTGTGAATATTTTGAAGTGCTTCTATTCTGAGCTGATGCACCCTCCCAAGTGATAACACGGTCGGCTGGTAATATGTGCTTATAGTTCCTCCCCCCTAAATCTATATAAAGCCCGAGGCAGCTGACATGTCCTGATTGATTACAGGATACGAACATAACTCAGGGTCCAGCAGTCAAACAGCCCATTCAAGGATCTGAGGACTGCAAGCAAACAAAGTGGAAAAGGCCGATCTGCACCATCTTATTTTCAGGGTTTGGTCTGCAGCATTTTTAAAATAGATCTCATGCCACAGAAGTCAAACTTCAGGTTTTCTTTAAACAACTTTTAAAGAATAAGTTCAGTTGAACAATGGAAGGATAAGATTGTAAATAATCTGAAAGGAAAAATGTCTCACAATGCCTGGAAATGGGGGGGAAAGAAATACAGAATTTCATACATTTAAAGACCAGACTCTGTTTAGTACATTTCTATACCATATTGGGCATCTTGCAGCAAAATAATTGTTTCCATAAATCTGTTTGGCTGGTTTAGCATATGGTAGCATGTAAAAGGACTAGTTCTGTGCTTTTGGTGGTTACTTTATTGCTCCATTTTAACAAATTACTGTAAAATTGTAAGTTTTTAAAACATTTCAATATATATTTTCGCAATTGTGAATATAATAGAGCAGGGAAATGGTTTAACTGTTTAATAGTTGCAAATATATTTGTTGCATCACTGTCCACAACTAAAATTGCATTCAATAATTTTCTATACTGATTTAAAACAACCATGCTGTGTTTTTTTTTTAATCAGCTTTATGTTGATATGTAGTAAATAGTAATGACACCAAAACACTTTTTTTTTATTGCATTTTATTTAACCCGCAAAAACACTTTCCCTGAAATGAACAGAAGTGAAGCAGACAATACAGTAAAATGAATCCTTACATTCATGTGACACTGCTGCCCCCTGGTGGCAAGATGTTCACAAGCGTTGAGACTGTGTGCATCATTTGGTAATGCTTTGATCTGGAGTAACTTATACTTCAGTATTGCTAAGTAGGCTCCTGAACTCTCAAGAAACAGACAAAAAAAATAAATTCCAGTATGGTTACGACACAAAGATAGTATATTTATCCATATTTTACAAGCAAAACAACCTAATAAAGGCCAAATTTGATTCAAACGTACTTGAGGCAAATTTTTAAATAAAGAGCTCTATGTCCTGGGCACGTCCATCTTTAGATCTGGGGGGGGAAAAAGAAAAAAAGGAGAGGTTTTATTTTTTTAAATAACCAAGAGATGAAAAGCTTAAATAAATAAACAACAATAGACTTACTGATTTAGATTTTATCAAGTCCAAGTTCCTCAGGTGTAGAGATGCCAAGCTCTTTTAGTGTGGGTTGAAGCTCCTGGATCACGTACGGGTAGATGTCTTTATGAGGCCCAGCCTTGTCCTGAAGAAATAAAAAGTTAAATCCTTTAAACTATAACTGAAAAAAAAATTAAAAACATATAAAATGTTTCCCTTTTTCAATGTTGGCGGTCAATAAATTAACACGTTGAGGTTTTCTTACCTTTACTGCCTCCAAGATACGGATGGCGCTGGCCAAGTCGTTTAATCTCCGGCAGGCCTTCAGCGCGGCCTCAAGGATCTTTGGTTCTGGTACAAGGTCATACCCAATCAGCGTGTTCATCCCTGAAACAGAGTTAATGCGTTTAAAACTGAAGCAGATACAGAAGAATCCATTTTTCTAAATTTCAACCACACCCATTTGTTCTTGACCCTAATCCCCGTTTATAAGTGATTCTTATGAAACACCAGAATATGACCAACGGCTAAATCAAAGTAACTAAGCAACCTTCTGCTGTTAGGCTGCGAACTAATAACAGCCAATAATGTCATACTGACATAAACTGTTTACTTCGCCATCACAATTTACAGCAGAGTCGTACATAATGTAAAAACTAATAACAAAATAATCTCCAAGTAAACATTACTCATTATAAAAAATAAAAAAAACTTGGAGACCATCTTCCAAATACTGTTTGTTAAAGCAGACAAGAAATTATTCAAAGCTGGTGAATAAGAACCAGCTGCAGACACATAAGGCCTGTACTGAACAACCAAAACTGATAAAGGTAAAAAAAAAAAAAAAAAATACCTTCCGCATTTTTTTAACACATAAACAAAACACACTGTACGCCTTTCTTCAAAACACAACAACTCTGTTACTAATAAAAGTGATTTTATGTTAATTTGCTGGAATAAAGTCAATTCTGAGCCATCAAGGTAGAATCCAATGCATTTAAATTCAGAACATAGAACAGAATTCCAAAAAATAAAATTCAGAACAATCCACTGGACTTTGTTTCCAAGTTTGAAGACGTTTCTCTTCCATCCAGGAAGCTTTTTTAATTCAGAATGTCAGAAATAGCGTTTAGTTCCAGGCTTTATACAGTAGCCCAACAAAGCCTTGTTTTTGCTTTAAAAACATGAAAATTTAAACGAAAAAAAGAGGTCCACCCCTTTGGAATGGAGGTCGTTTGGCTTCTTTTGTTAGATTGCAATACCCCATACCCATCTGAAAGGTCGGTCGTTAAAGAGGATTTTTGGACTAGCTGAATAGAATTGAAAAAGCAAAATGTCTTTAAACTTGGAAACAAAGTCCAGTGGATTGTTTTGAATTTTCTTTTTTGGAGCGATTATGACCTGGATGACTGAGAATCTTCACCAGCATAAAACAGAACAAGTCTCTGCAAAAGAAAGATCCCAGTAACTGATTGAATCATACAAACAATGTTCATATAAAGCTTCATTAAGCCCTATGGATGGTCTAATAGCAAACTTGGCTAGTTTGCAAACAAACCAAGTTGGCTAAGAAACCACCAAAAAATGTGAAGGAAGGAGTTTGTTTTCCAACTAAGCAGTGCTTAGTCTAATGGATCATTTCCTGATGTCTCCTTTCACCTGATAAGGAGCACCATCTAGGTGCTTCTCTTTATAAACATCCTGTATAAAGTTCAACAAAACAGGCAGGAGAGCATTTAGTCTGATTAATAGAAGCTTTATATGCGACTATAATGTAGCACGGCTAAAATATGGTGGATTTTAAACAGTGGTGAATTAGGACTGGCTCAGAGTTTATCCAACACAGAGAAAGATATTCACAG